AATTTACTATAGAAAATATTGACTAAATATATATTAAAAAAAATGTTTTTTAAGTAAATTGTATCTTTTTATACATTTTTTTGACTTTTGTTTAAATATAATATATATTATCTTTTTATTTTATACAAATAATTATTTTATTTTATTTTATTTTTTAAGATTTAAAAATTTTCTTTCATAATAGAATAAAAATACATAAAAAATATTAAAAGATAAAATAAAGCATAATAATTACTATAGAATTTAAAGAAAATATTATAAAAGGCTTATAATTTCTATTTTAAACAAAATTAAAGCTTAAATAATAAATATTTATTTTTTTATCAGATATATTAAATAAAATAATTTAATAAAACATAAAATACTATTTTGAAGTTTTTGAAATATGAATTAATATTTAAAATAATAAAATTTTAAATATTATTATTTAATGCTTTTTTTTATACTTTTTTAAATATGAATTTTTTTATTAGAAATATTAAATAAAAAAGGTAATAAATAATTAAATACTTTTTAAAATGAAAGTTAATAAATAAAATAAATAATTTGTTTTATTTTCTAATTTTTTTATACTTCATTTTAAATAAAAATTTTTTTAAAAAAAAATAACTGGAATAAATTTTATTATCTTATTATATACATTCAGTTTAGGTTAAAGGTCTAAATCTTTATCTTAGATTAAGAATACCTATTTTTTTTATATAAATAGTATTACAGTATATATGAAATGCATTAAATAATACTTAACATAAAATGCATTGAATAAATTAACTTATTTCAATTATATTTAAATAAAATATATTTAATTAATTTAAGTTATTAATTAATAAAATATATTAAATATTAAATATAAATAATATCTTTTATTTAATTAAATCAAATCAAATCATTAATTTTTAAACTAATCATAATATATTAAATAATTAATATAATTTTAATAATATATGATTTAAATCTAAAAAAAAATTAAACAATCAATATATATAAATTAGGGTATCCAGGATTTTGTGATAATAACATTCAAATTTAATTGGGTGATTTTAGTCGACCACATGTTTTCAAGATAATTAAACTATGCATACGAACAGTGTTTTGTACTTTATTTTATTATAATAATGTTTCTGGACTAAATGTTCTAATGTAATAATAATATACAGAAATTTATTTTCTGATATATTTTTTTATATTAAGTACTTATTAATAATTTAATACATTATTATTTTAACTTATATTAAAATATGATTGATTCGATAGATAAAATTTAAAAAAAAAATTATGACGAAGATTTTAGGCAAGAATTAATTAATTAATTCATATAAAAATTACTAGTGTTGGTCTATTAATGAGATTCTCTCTCGTAATATTATTACATCTGCATAAAAAATAATCATTAAATTAATATACTACAATATAATTTAATAAATAATGCTTTTTACTTGCCATAAATTCAAAATTACAATTAAGTTGGTTTTGGACCAACTTCAGTGGTAGGATATATGCCAGAATTAAGAGGAACTTCTGCCTGAGCTGTCGCAATAGTGACATTTGATAATAATAAGACTACCAATGCGACTTTAATAAAAATCTTCATTATTATTGAAATTATCTCCTTGAAAACAAAAAAAAAAAAAAAAAAATTAAAGTTTAATAAATAAAAACAAGTTTACACAACATTAATTTTCTCACTTAATTTTTTTTTTAAAAAAAAATCAAATAAATAATTACCTCCTTATATATGTGTGTTTGCTAAATGGAAGGATCTCAAAGCCGTTTAATATAGAGTAACACTAAATTCAACTTGATTGATATCAACGAACTAAATTTTCTTGAAATACGGTCCAAATCGCTGAAGAAAAAAAAATTTGGGAAATGTACAAAAACAAATTTAAAAAGAATTAAAAAACCTGTTTATGGCAATTTTATATAGACTATTTAATGATTTGTATATAAATAGAAAACGCCTTCTAATAAAGGGGGTTTTTCAATTTAAAAAGGAATGAAAATAGGGGATATTTATAAATATTTATAAATAGATTAGGCGTATTTTAACATTGTAACATCACTACGTAAACGTCACATGACATGTTGCGTGATGCTGCGGTTTCTTCAAGTAATCGGACTTTTCTATAAAAGGCAATAGCAATATGAACAAAATCAGCATAGCGCATTTTGAAATGTAGAAAGTCGCGTGACACCTATTAAAACTGTCAACGGCGATAATCTAATCATATTATTTGATTTATGCAGTAACATGTCACCTTAAAAATGATTTAAACTGCACTAATTCGATATGTTATCTAATATTCTTATCGGTATTTCTTAAACTTTAAGTGGGCATACGAACAACCTTTTCATTGTAAAAAAAAAGGGTTCATGCAATGTTCTTCTTTTCTTTGTACATGAAAACAATAATAATTTTTTTTTTTTAACGAAACGCAAAAGCAATTCTACAAAGAAATTTATCACGATTAACTTAACCTTTTCTTGACTATCGTGCAGAAACACTTTAACCTTGTTTCAATTGCATGGTCAACAATATAAAAAAATTTTTAAGCAATTGTATCTACATACGGAAATCGACATAATTGACAGCTTTTAATTTTGCAATTTTGCGGAATATTTGTAATGCGCACAATAGAAAAGGTATCTCTCCACTTTCTAAATCATTTTTTCGTGGTGAATCGCGTAATCGATTTTTAATTTTTCAAAAAAAAGGAAAATAAAAAATGAATTTTTTTTTATTTATTTATTAATGGTGTCCTTAATTGGTTAAACAGTATGTCAAAAATCACAAAGAAACCCAACTCATTCATGCAAGTTAAAAATTTGTCGAGGGCTGAAATCGATACCGAGAAAGTGGAATATAAAGTTCCTTGGATCTTGTGAAACGTTATACCTTGACAGGTTTAATTGATGACCATATAAAAAAATATTTGAGTAACAATCAAACAATGGGCACACAATATTTATAAGACAATGGAAATTAAGGAGACCAAACTATTTAAACAATGACGTTTACCCGATCTCATAATCTGATTTATGCCTTAATGTTTTCTCCACATAGATTTATTGCCGACAACGGTATATATACAAAGCACAGGCGTTTTAATTCTGCATGAACTTCTTTTAGTTTAAATAAGAAAGGAGTTGAGCTTAACCCTTAAATGTGTTGATAAGGTACAATGTTTCACAAGGTGAATGAAGCCAAAATTTATTTTTTTTGAATGATGATTGAAGGAAAAAATTTTTCATGATGTTTGCATAAGCACCAAGATGATGAAATTTCATGCAATTGACAACTTTATCCACGGAGATAACGAATAACCGACTTGGCTCATTGAAACAATATCAACAATATCACAATGCCCCCCTCAACAAGCCATTCATGTGAGTTTTGGAAATGAGCATGAAGGTTCGAAATCATTCTATCCTTATAGAAATGAAAAATTAGGAAGATAAAGTCTTACTGCGGACAAGAATTTCGTGGTTATTTTGCACCAAAGAGTCATGAAAACACAAAAGAACTTCATCCAAGAAATTTGGTTTTCTAAAAATCTAATTAATTGAAATTAATGCAGTTCATAAAATTATTGCAGTAATATTTATAAAAAAAAATAATGAATTTTGGTGATCTAACTGTTATAGTTAAATGATATCAATCATCAATCATAACATTATTTATTTTGTGTATCGATTTGCATCACATAAATTGATAAGCGTTATTGTTTATCTGAAAATTTTAAACCATTTTTTTTGATCTTTTTCTTCAAATTTTTTTTTTTTGATGCAATTAAACAATGTAAATGTTCAATCGCTATTGTAATCATTTTCATGCAAATGCTTAGTGCTTATGAACGAAAAAAAAATAATCTGAAATCCCTTAATGAGCGCAAAATTCATTACTTGTTTTCCGCAGCAATCCCCATTATTTTTATGTAATTTTTTTTTTGTTTTTCGAAAAAAAAAAGAATTTTTGATCTGTGAACTGACACGTTATGTTTATATTAGACTTGTTTCTCTTTAGAATTCATCATACTAAATAAAGAATCCCACGCTAGATTTTTAACAGTAAAAAGTGGCTACAATCTGCAATTTGGCTTGCATTTGCTGGACCATAAACAATTTTATTTATTTGCATTATTCACCAAATATGTTACCGTATGACTTAACGATTAAGCATTCTTGTTAATTGATTTTAATAATTATATATTATTATTATTATTATTATTACTATTTTTATTATTATTACAACCATTTTAACACAAATCATATCGACAAAAGTTTTGATTCATCGTCGAAGAAAATTATCTTTTTTTCTTATTTCCCACAGTTTTTATCCACATGGAGCTTGTGAAAGTATCCTATTGTAGTATTGCGACACATGTCGTATATCCAAGATTATCTTAACATAAGGTCATCTGTTTTATTATACACTAAAAAAAGAATTTTTTTTTCGAAGAAAAAAAAAAAAAGAAAGATTAAAGGCACGAAATCGCACCTCTAGGTTGAATTCTTTGGATTATTCCCCTTTCATTTTTTTCTTTCCCCATTTTTTTCTTTTAATTAAATTTTTTCATATTTTTATTCCAAAGCTCCATATTATATATATATTCAATTGAAACAAAATAAAAAATTTTTAAACAAAAAAATCAAAAAAAAAAAAAAAAAAAAAATTTAACGTAATGGCACAATCACCACCTAATGAAATTTTACAAGAAATTTTTAAATATTTTGTTAATGATATTGATTATTTACATTCATGTCTCTTGGTTAATAAAATTTGGAGTTCAAATGTCATTCCCGTATTATGGAATCGGCCCTTTCATTTGTTGCTTCACAATCACATTAACTTGTCTCACCAAATCATTTCAACTTATCTCGCCTGCTTGGATAATGAAGAAAAATCAAAATTAGATATAAATGGAATCTCTAGATGTTTATATTCCTCTCAATCTTCCTCTCAATCTTCTTCTTGTTCATCTGATTCTTCTTTATCCACCATGTTTGACTTACCTTTATCATATTCCGTAATTCCATCACATCCGCCAACATATAATTATCCATCCTTTTTACGTCATTTGTCTTATTTCTCATTCATTGCCTCCATACAAGAATGGTGCGCTGTAAATAATAATTGGAATCCATATGCTATGCGTAAAATTGTTCAAGCCTTATTTCGTCTTTTCGCGAAATTTTCTCCAGGATTAGAAACCTTGGTTTTCGTAATGGACATGGATATGAGTCTGGATCTCGCTGCAAATGGCTTCTTATTGTTCGACGAAAATCATCATGATTTTGATGGGGTCATTACTTCTGCTAATTCGACTCTTAATGTAAAAAGAAATTTGTCCAATTTATTGGATCCTATCGTATGTAATTGGATGTCACATATCAAAGAGATTGAATTGGCCGGAGATTTCATTATTGACCAAAATTTTCCCGTTTTGTTGACCATTTGTAAGGACCTTAAGAAAGTAAGTGAAGTTAAAAAGAATAATATATGTTTGGATGATTAATATTTACATTTGTTTCCTCTCTCTCCTCACCCTCTCGTTAGATGGAAATTAGATTGCCTGATTTTGAATACGACGATGATGGAAAACATTATGATTGTAGTGTTGAAATGTCTGCTCGATTTTTAAAAATTCAACGAGGTCTTAAACATTTCACGCTTCGCGAATCACATTATTCAAAAGCTATCGGAGCCGCGTTAATACGTCAAAAATCTTCTTTACGTCACGTAGAATTTATTGACACGGTGTTTGACAATCAATATCCATTAGATTGGCTTCCATATTGTAAGCATTTGGAATCATTAACATTTGTTGATTCAGAAATGTTGATCCCCAAAATCTTGACCCCTCTTCGATTGGCACCTTTAAAGAGACTGAAATCGTTGGCGTTTAGAGAAGATCCTGTTCCAACTGATACTTTACAAATCCTTATTCATTCAAGTAATGTGAATTTACAAGAGATTGTATTCGGATGGCCAGAAGATTGCAGGCAGGATGGTCATTCTTATATATTAGATTCCATCTCAAAGTTTTGTCCATTTCTAACAAAATTGGGTGCTACAATTGGTCGTCACGAAATTTCCGAATTATTCCTTATATTAAGTAATTGTAGATATTTGCAGTGCTTGGAGATTTATGGCAACGGATGTTTGTTGGACGTTAATGAAATTTTACCAGAATTAGGCAAATTCCTTCCCACCACTTTAGGTGAACTTGATATTGGTGCAAGGTGGAGATTTAGATCTGATATTTTGGCTCGTTTCTTGGAAAATTCTAAGCATGTTTCTTTGTACAAGTTTGTCATTCGGATCTGTGATTTTATAAATGAGGAACATCTTAGAGTGATTGTGAGGCATTCTATGAGTTCTTTAAAATATTTTACTTTATGGAATAAAAATTTTTCCGTCACTCAAGATGGAATGGTGAAAGCAAGTGAATGGTTGAGAAAATCCGTTTCTTAATTTTTTTATTTTATATTTTATATTTTTTTTTATTTTAAATTCTTTGGGTTTTTTTGAAGAGGTTGATTAGGTAGTTTGATTTTTTGTTTGTTATCATTCTTTTTTCTCTTCTTTTTTTTTTATCTTTGATGACATATCTAATGGGTACTTATTGAGAGTGTATTTATTTTTTATTTTAATATGAGCATATTTAAAATGCAACACAAAAAAATTTTTTTCTTTCAAAATAGATTTACTAGATTTGCTTAGGGGCAAATCAAAAAAAAAAAAAAAAACAAATTATGATTTGGGGCAATTATTATCTTAAAAAGATTTTTTTTTTCTCTGGGTGATAAGAATTCACCTTTATTTCTAGTTATGATATTTTACATAATATTTTTTTTTAAAAAAAAACCATATTTTTTATATTTACGATTTTTTTTTTACTAATTTTATATAACAATTACAAGATTTATTATATATATTACGATTTACTTTTTTACTATAGCTCCTTCTCCCCCTGTTAAGAGTAAATTACATCCATATTATTATATTTACTCTTCTTTCTTCCTTCTACTTATATATATAAAATATTCGAGTGAAATTCATTTTGTTTTCATTTTCGTTCGATTTTATATATATAAATTAACGGTTAATTTATAGCTTTTATCTATGATAAAACTTTTAATATTCAAGCCTAAGACTTAATTTCTTTTAATTTTTTAATTTTTTTTTTTTTTTTTAAAGAATAAAAAAAAGAAAAAATAAATGCTTCTTTTTTCTTTATTAAATCATATTTGATTAATTTCAATTAATAAAAATCATAATGGTCTCTACGTTTGATGATATATTTTAACGAAAAAATTCCCTTATCATTCGCTTCGTGAACCATAAAACCAACCATAAGAAATTTATTACTAATCATGCATGTCCTCATGTTCTTGCATGCGCACAAGACCAAATATTCCCAACTAGGAATTAAATGTTCTAAAAAAACTTTAACCAGAAATTTGGCTTGTAAATAAAAATTCTAACCGTTCTAGAGTGAAGAAACAAATGGGTCATGGACTAGCAAAATACCCCTCCGGTAAATTATTGCTTTTTTGAGAAATCAGAATTTAACATTTTATCATTTTCATTGTTTACAGTTTATTTTTAGAACAAAATGCAATATGATGATCAATTTATATGTAATGTGATACAAATTTTTATATTTTATGTCTCCTTAAACATTAAAAATGCATATTATTCCAATTTTAGATTGTCGATCTTTTTTGAAAAAGAAAGTTTTATATGAATATTTCGATAATTTATTATACGTTTATGTTCAAAAAATTAGATTATCATATAGTTAAGCATATTCAGCTTATATAAAATCATAAAAAAAATATTTTTGACAAAAGGCTCGGAGGGCATTTTGCTAGTCCATGACCCAAATGTACAGACTACCACATATCACGAAAAATCGATCTTTAAAAACCTTAAATAAGACAATTTTTGAAGCCGGAAATTTTGGAGATGGATCTGTATTTAATCTGTTTGAATTCTCAAAAAAAAAGAAATAAATAATTAACAAGCTATTATATGAAAGTATGATTCAATTTAATAAAAATGAATATATAATAGGTATTATATAATAATTATATTAATATTTATCATTTTAAAAATAAATAACTTAAATATTAAAGCATAGTAATTATTTCGTCAAAATAGATAAATAGATAATAAATAATATATATAAGCAATTTTTTTATTATTGTTTATTTATTTATTTATTATATATTAATCAAATTTAAATTTTTTTTATTAATAAAATTATTTAAATTTTACAAAATATAAATTAAATAGTAAAAATTATTTTATTATAAAAAAAAAAGTTAATTTACAAATATTGAATAAATAAAAATTAAAAAATAAAAAGATTATATAGAAGATTTAAAAAAAAAAATAGATAATAATATTTTTGAAATAAATAAAAATTTAGAAAATTTGAAATTAGATTATTTAAAATATAATTTTATTTTATTATTATATAATAATATAAAAAAATATTAAATATCACATTATATAAAAATTTAATTTTTATTATACTTAAAATAATAATACAAATAATAATATTTTATATTTTAATAAGTTTTTAAAAAAATTTTATAATCATACATCATTAAAATAAATTTATTGATTATAAATTAATTTTAATAGATAATTTTTAGTTATAGTTAAACCTTTCTATAATGATTTTCTATTTTCTGGATTTTTTGTTCTTATGAATTATATGAGAGATCTTTTAATTTTATTAAATAAAATAATTAAATATAATAATAAATCTTATTATTATATATAATAAATTTTTATTATTATCTATGAATTAAAGATACTACACTATATCAAGTATAATAAAATGAGATTTTTGATAATGATTTTTTATATTAAATTTAAGGGATTTAATGAAAAATTTTTAAATTACTATTAAAGAAAATGTTATTTTATATAAAATATAAATTAATAATTTAAATATTCAAAAAAAAATCATATTTTAATCAATTATTTATTAAAATATCTAAATAAAAAAAATTTTTTTTAAAGAAAAAGAAAAAACTTCTTAAATAAAATAAACTATAACTTTTTTAATAGATACTTAAAAATGTGAACTTTGTTTAAAAAAGTTGAAAAAAACAATTTCTAAAAATAAAGCTATATAATAATAAAATTTCTATTCTAAACAATAAATTATATTGAATTCATTTTAAGAAATATAGTCAACTTTTTCTATAGTCACACATTTGAAATACACTATATAAAGTAACTATAAGATATGTAACTATATGCAAAAAAAATTTTTTTAGTCACATTTTAATAATAAATATATAAATATGACTATTAAAAGATATACATTTTATTTACTTTACAGAAACCCTTAAAATTCTAACGATATCTATGTCGATTCGATATCATAACGATATCACATCGATATGGAATCGATATCGATATTCATATCTTAACGA